GGTTCAGCCCGGCCCCGTTTTCCCGGAGTTGGTGCATCCGGGGGGGTGTTTTCGGGGCCCTTAAGGGGGCCCCCCCCGCCCCCCCCCCCCCCCCCGGGACAGAAACAGCAGCACCAGCAGCGGGTTTTGGGCCCAACCCGGGAAGGGGGGCCGGATTGGAGGGTTTTGTTTCCTTTTTTTTTTTTTTGGGGGGGCCCCGGGGGGTTTCGGGGGGGGGGGGTGGGGGTTTCCGTTTTTTTTTTGGGGGGTCCCTTATTTTCCCCCCCCCGGGACCCCCAGGGGTTTTTGGTCCCCGTTTTTTTTTGCCCCCCCCCTTTCGGGGGTTTTTTCTGGAAAAGGGGGGGAAGTTTGGTTAAGGGGGCCCCCGTGCCCTGGGGGGGGGGGTAATAGGGTGGGGGGGGGGCCCCCCCCCCCCCCCCCCTGCCCGGATATGAATCGCGCTTGAGGTTCAGGCAAGCAGATACCGTAGTTATGCGCGGTTGTTCGCACTGGGGTTTTACCGTTTTTGTACGGCTTGATTGCGGCACAACCAGGAGGGTGCGGACGCCAACCAGGAAATCTCCCGACGAGATTGTAGAACTTCCCAAAACGACCACCCCTTTTCGTCCGTTTTGATGCCCTCTTGGTTGATGTCGTAAATATATAGCTTTACAGAAACGCTTTTTAGCACCCCTGTGCTAACACTCGCATCATCACGGTAGTGCTGTAGGAGCACATTTGTTGCTTTTGTGTCTGTGGACGGGCTGGGCCGGAGCCCTCCTGGCTTGTTCCTCTGACGACGATGAGGGGTCCTCAGCGGCGTCGCTGTGGCGACGAATGCGCGTACAGAGCAAGCCATCTATCTTTTGCAGAATGCTGCAGTAAGGGTGAAATGACTACAACGAAACGGGGTGCTCCACTGCTGTGGTTGCTGTCTTGTAGCTTCATAGCTGCGGGCAGGTGCTCCAAGAGCGCTTTGCTCGATGAAGCGCTCCGGGTGGCTCGGAAGAGCGAGGACAACAATCTGCTACCTAAACCTTGGTGAATTGAAGTTTTTGGTGCCGGGCCTAACGATACTATTGAATGCATACTGCTGGTGTTACTCGTGGGCCATTGTCGGCCCCTTGTTTTGTTTTTGGTTTTTGTGTCTTGTGTGTTTTGTTTTATTTTGGAGGTGCGGGAAAAGGGCGGCGGATCACCACCGGGGATTAATTTACATCCATGTCCCGGCGTCGAACAATACAGTGAGAGGGCATGGCGGGTGACTGGGACCGTTCCAGCGATTGATCTGAACCGAATTGTTGCTACTTTTGAGGCGACACGCCAGAGGCGCGCAGCGCCACATGTTTTTCTCTGCGAAGCTCGGAAACGGCGCTCCAAATTTCGTGCGTTAGGTAATAATATTGTTTTCCAGGGCTCTGGTGGCCTGCTATTCATATCTTCGGCTGTAAAAGTCTCGTCATTTGGTTGAGATTGCTGCGGCAGTAGGCACGGATCATGATTTCATTGCTGGTTTTTCCCGGACGCTTTCTCGGCGGATAGAGATAAATTCTTTGTGTCTTAAAAAGGTAATTTAGCACTACCACCCCGTAGTAGTAGTGGTTGTTTTTGTTTTGCCATCCCCCGTGCCATAGTGTCTGCTGTTGTCGTTACGTGAAAAACCTGAGGCCGTTTGGTGCGTCCTTGTCGATAACGATTTGTCGGATTCTGAGTGTTTTTTATTCGTTTCTTTTTGTTTACAACCCGGATGCGGTAGTGTGAAAGGCGGTGCCTTTGGCCTGTTCGTGTCGGCACATACAAGGGGGAGAATGCCTCCCGTTTGGGCACATCGACACAAACAGCCGAAGAGCGTTGCCAAGTAGTTCACGGGCCAGGGAAGAAGCGGGTGGATCTACAGTCTATAATAGCGGCATCGTCGAACATTGGAGACACTTAGTAATTACTCGCTCTACAGCAGTGCGTCCGCCCAAAGTTTGGTTGCCAAGTATCTTTGCACGCATGCTGCGGATGATACTCCGTGAAGAGAAATAGTGGACGCTATCAATGCTGTGTCCTTGTCTGCTGGTATGGTAGCGCTACTGTACGAAGGTCTTCGCGTGTTCGAAACATCAGGACTTGGATAACCGAATGAAAACCCGCGATGCTCTCCACTACTTGGTTCGGGCGACTGCTGTAAAACCCGTCCCAATCAGAATCAGCACTTTTTGACCAATGGGACAACGGCGGGAGTTTTATTTGGTGTCTTCTCTCTGGCCAATCAGTATTTTGTTCAGCGGCGCCGATTGGTTCCACCGATAGGAAAACTGCAGGCAGGCACGTTTGTTTTGTTCCGTTGCAGAAACACCACAAATGGCTCACTCGATCTCTGTCCTCTCTATCCATCCGTAGACCACGAAGAAAAAACTCTCGTGTGCTTATCATGGTGTGCCTCGATGGCGCATGGTGAGCTGCAAAATTTAACGTTCCCTCGCAAGCAGGCGAGCCACCTTGTTTTTTGTTGTTGTGTGGGCGCCCTCCCCACTACAATAACTAATTATACATATTTCCTTGTGCCTGTCTTGTCAGCAAGAAAGGAGTATACATCACCGGCCTAGGCAATAAGAACAGCAACGAACGCTACGCTTCACACACGAGGAACGCCGAAAAGTTCATAACAGCGAACACACGTATGCACACGCGGGTGGTGCTGCCTGCGCACACTAGCGACAACATCATCATCATCATCATCATCGACAAGCGAATGAATGCTGCGTCATTCCGGTGGTGATCTAAGTTCGAGAAAATACGTCTCGCACACCGGGTGGTCCATCGCCACTTTGCCCCCCCGAAGCACTCGACACAACGCCTAAAAAAAAAAACAACATACGCACAAACCCATTACACCGCACGCTCCGTACCACACACAGGCTATTTCCACGGGAGACAAGGTGGGATGCGGCGGGGGGGAATTCCCCCGCTGTAGACCACGTCAAGACGTCGCCAAGACTTGGGGTTCAACGAGGTTATTGCCCTTTCGAACGGGCCGGCCCCGTCCTCGTGTCATGATCTCCACCAACGAACTTTTCTAGGTACTTGTATCTACGGCGGTTTACTCTCTCTCTCTCTCTCCTTCTCCTCCTTTCGCTTAGGGAGAGTCGGGGGTCACACAGACGACAACCTCACCAGGACCCCCCCGCACCTTCGTTCCGCGGTGCGCGCCTTGGACCTAACGCCCTCCTACACCCCAACCGCTACCAACATGGCCTACTCCACACACCACCGGTACCCGCTCGCTTGCGGCAGAAGAACCAACGGTGGCCACATCCCAACAACGCATCTTACTAGCACAAACAAATGCCACAAAAACAGTGCATGATACTGGCACAATCAGGGTTAGCGCCACCAAAAACCGAACACCCAACGGCGTCAGCGACAGAACACTTGGGGACAACCGACACCATCCGCCGCGGCTACTACTCCTCGGAGGGCAATCCTGACGCAACCACGAGCGCCGTCGGAGACAGCACAAGGCTCGCCGGTAGCCCGCACAGCACAGCCGAAGACGCCAAGGCTGGCGGCACAAAGAGCGGGGTGTCCGCCGCCGAGGCCTCCTCCGCCGCCCGCACCGTGCTCGCGCACGACGAATCCACCGAGTCCGCGGGGGTCCTAGTCCCCGCTCCGGCCCCACCAGCGTTCGACACCGGCACTGCGAACGACGTCGACTTCGTTGCCCTCGCGGCCTTGCCGACCCCCGCCCGCAGCCCACCCAGCGTGGGGCTCTTTAGGAAACCCGGGGTTTTTAAGATTGCCCGTGACCGCGCGCGTTTCCCGCCGGCCTTGGAGCCTCTCATTCCAACCCCGTCGGCGGCGACGACCGCCGAGCTGCCGACGTCCGGGTTTCCCCCGCCGGAGGCGTCGTGGCTGTGTCGGTGCCGTCGTCGGGGCATGACCCACCGCTGCTGCGGGGTCTCCAGGTGCGCCGACTCCAACCCCATGGCGTCGTTGCCCGCGGAAGACGCTATGCGCAAATCGATCGATTGGGGCCGCCCCGACTTTCCGCCGGCTCTGCTCCCGCCGCCGCCGCCGCCTCCCCCGCCTCCCCCTACCCCTAAACCTAGCGCGCTAAGCGGCAAGCCCAAGCTCCCGCCGAGCGAAACCGGGCGCGGCCGGGAAGGTTTACCCCCCACCCCAGAGGCGTTACTGTTGTTGTTCATGGCCATCCGAACAGCGCTCCCTCTGCCGTGTATCAAGCCCTGGTAGTCGTACACGCTGTTCTCGCTCTTGACGCTGTTCTGGGAAACGGTGCTCAGCCTCGGGTGGATCAGGCTCGACAGCGTCCCCGCTCTTGACCGCAGCAGTGGCTGCCCTGCGCACCCGTGCGCTAGGTCGAATTCGATGGCCGCGTCCGGGTGGTCCTTCGTGCCAGGCGACTGCGACCGCAAGAAAGAAGCCGTAGATGACGACGATTGTCGAGCCGAACCCGGCTGCAATATTATGGTAGGATGTACGGCCGGAGTCGGGGGGTGGGGGCTCAGGGGGGGAAAGGGTCCGATGGCGGCGCCGTCTCGCGAAACATAGGTAGTGCTCCGAGAACAAAATCGACTCATTACCATTTCATCTATTCTACATGTAGACCCTTATCTAAATATGGATAGAGAGATTGATTTATTGTGTCCTATGAAGAAAAAAAAAGAAAGTGGGTTGCACACAGCGGGTGCACGTGTTTGCCAAACCGGAACGAAATTCTTGACATGTACTTTTGGTCTTCACTTCAAATCAGCGCTCACAGCACTAGTGCCGTTTACTCCACCCCGTGGTCACACAGAAGGGCCCCTCACTACCCTCTCCTCCTGCGGTACTTTGCCTTCGAATGCAAGAAGAGTTTAGCACTCTCTTCCCTCTGTGTACACACGAACTAGCGCTATCCACTAGGCCAGGAGCGGAAGCGAGAGAAAAACTCACTTCGCAAGAAAAGCTCGCTTACGCCGGGATTCGAACCCCTGACCTGACCTCTAGAAGGCTCCGAGGATATCAACTAGACCACCGGGGCGACCGGTAATGGTGGTAAACGATGCAAATGGCAACAACAATTCAAACGATTTCGCTCGTCCTTTCTCGCACACCTTGCATCGATTGAGGGGAGTGTCGTCGTCCAGAAGGAGGCAAGCGAAATGCCCCTCGACGTTGATGTAGACCGGTTCTGCGACCTCCACCTCCCTCTCCGCCTGCTGGCCCGCCTCAGGCGCCCCCCATGCCGGCGCTTTTTCGCCCTCGTCATGGCCTTGGTCAGCCGGCGTTGTTACTCCCCTCGGCTGAACAAAAACACGGAACAGCCAGCAAGGAACCACAAAAAAAAAAAAGGACAAGTCAGGGTCAGGGATAAAAAAAACAGGACGAATAGGGGAGGGCATGCGGTATCAGATGTGCGAGGTCCTCGCGCGCTTGTGCGTGGAGCATGTGAGTGTGCCGAACAACGAATTGAAGCAGCCAAAAAGGCTCGACAGAAACCGTTGCAGCCTGATGCTTATCGCACGAACACCCAAATAATTGCCCTCTCGAGCTTTGATCTCCTCTTCCATCCAACTGCTATGTTGTCGTTCCGCCCGCCACAGCTGGTGCCCGGCTTGCCTGCGTGCAACCACCGGCTCTTCTGTTTGCAAGCTCACATGCATACCAGCATGATGCCACCAACCATCAACAATCGGATTGTATTCCCCGCCACCGCCACCACCACCCTGGATCACCTTCGCGAGTATTTTATTATGAATCTACACATGAAATTTAATAGTAACCTTGAAGTAGAGGGGGGTTTCGTATCCCTGTCCCTGTAACCCTAACCCCCCCACTGCTGTAATAAAACCAAGCTGTATGTACCCTTGCTAAGGCTGTGCTGACCACCGTTCATCGCCACTTTTTACCGCTGCACCTCGCACTCACCAAGCTCGCCAATCCCACCCCGTCCAACGCTCCCAGCACGTCGGCTGCAACCGGCGGGTCGAAGCGGAACGCTAGCAGGATTATCCCGTAGCGCGCGCGTGATCGGTCGCACTCGAGCTGGAACACCGACGCACCCTCCCGGAGGCTCAGGCCGATCACGTCGTGAACCTGCCCACACCACACAATACCCCATAAGAAGGAAAATCGGAGCCGCACCCGCAAAAACGCTTGGAGATGAGTTTTGCGATCTGAACGGGGAAACCAAGTGTGTGGTAGTAATAATAATAATAACAAAATAAAAAGCAAGTAAAAATTGCTCCACTTGCGATGTATTTGGACCGGGGGGGGGTGCGAACACACAGCATGTAGAGTATATCTGGCGTCAATCGGGTTGGAGTTCCCATAAGGCACGCTATGAAAGAAAATGTATTGCTTTCGAAGTAGTAGTTTAGGCGGGATCAGTGCCCCGTCGTCGACAAGCGGGCAATAAGAGGTACAGCCGTTGTATGGGGTAGAAAACGACTCCGTGGGGTCAACCACCCTGAGTCCTCTAGGCCTACCTTTAGCCGCGGCATAAATATTCAACGTCTTGAGAAGCGTCTTCCCTCTCGAAACATGCCGCCCTGCAATAATACTGCTGTATCATCTTCGTCAGCAGGTGCGAATACGATGGCGCCTACACACATAAGGTACAGCATAATAGTGCTGGAATGTGCCCAGAAATTTCAGCGGCACTACACCGGACCGGCACCATTCAAGGTATTGAGAATGACGTGGAAATTCAGCGTGTGCCCGCCGGAAAACACAAGCACTATAATCGGGTACCGCCACTAGACAGGGGCCTGTACCGTATTACACACGACTTATGCATAGCATACGACCACCGACAGATACAAATGCCGCCTCTCCAAACGCCGGCCTCTTGTGCTCTCACCTCAAACTCAACGCTCGCCAACACCGGATTCTCCCCGATCTTGCGCGGCCGGCGCATCTCCACCCGCACTAGTTCCGAGTATTCGATGTCCCTCAACACCACAGCCTGGTAGATCAACGCACACACACGCCGTTGGTGTGCACGTCATGAAGATCCAAAACGTCGAGGAAATTTCATCCGCAACGGGAGCACCACGACAATGCAGGAATTAGGGGGGAGGGGATAGTTTGTCGTCAGATTGTGTGCGATCGGTACAAAGGGCGGCTGCAGATATTGCCGGTGATGTGAGCACACAGAAAGGGGTCGTGTGGTCGGTTCTCTCGGTGACGGGTACTGGTCTGATTCGAGGATGGAAGCGACGAAAACCCTTTCAAAACGTGAAAAGAAGCAAACAACAAAACAACAACAAAAAGAAGACAATAATTCATTGCTAATCTATCTTATAGACTCTTTTCTTCGATAGAAATGGATTCGTTGTGGTCATACTGATGAAATAAAAAAGAAGAAAAAGAAGAAAAAAAAACGTATCTACCACTATCACCCCACCGCCGGAGTGAGACATCCAATCGGTAAAGCTCGACTTCCTCGTTTGAAATAGTCCCGGAACTGTTTAGCCAACGTACACCTTCCGCCACGCGGCAGCATCTTGACCCACCTGGTGTGGCATCGGGTGAGAACCCAGGGTAGCAACACCAGGAACTGCGACGACAGCTACGGGGACTGCCGCAACGGCTACAGATCCCGTCCAATCTGGGGTCGCAGCCAAAAGATTTGGAGGCCACGTGAAGCGTTAAATCTGGGACTACATGTACACCAGGTACAGTACTTGTACCTCACACGGACGGTCGGATCTCATCAGTCCAGAAACCAAACCAAACTTAATCTGCGCCAACCATAGCGGTTCACGCCGTCGTCTGTTGAATCTAAATAGAGACATAATGTCGCACATATGCCTAGTTCTGTGTCATGTGCACACACACACCCGCGCGCGCGAAGATCTGTTACCCCTCAACCGCCACCCCCTACCCCTTCCGGCCTGCCAATGGTGCCACGCAGGGCGACGACTACAAGGCGAGGACCTTGCTAAGCTGGCATTCAACGCCGACAGCTCATCGCCGCGTGCCGTTATCGATCAACGCAGGGAGAGCCGAATATTGCTGCCCGCGCACCGGATACTCTATATTCGCTCAGAGTGCACCTACTTAAGTACATACGCTGCTGTGTCAAGAGGCGAGAGAACCCAACGAGTTGGTCTGAGGGTGTGTGAGAGAGAAAACCAGCTGCTGGGTTGGTTCGGTTTACATATTAACCCTAAAAAAAAATGTACTGAAGTATATAATGTGGAACGCTACTGTATCTTAACCCTGCCTGAACGGCCCATCTTTCGTGGCTCTCCAGACTCTAGCCATACTCAGACGTTACACATAACTCAGTACGGTAAGTATTTTCCTGCTATGCATACAATTATTTACCTTCAACACGTCCGTCCCCTGCTGTGGCACCAAGTATTTCGAACGGGTAGTCTTTCATGTCGACTCTCTAGAAAGCTATGTACGCACCTGGTCCCACACCGGGTTCGAAGTCTTCCCCGCCCTGCCGGTCTCGTGTCTCTCCCCCATTGGGTCCTTCGGAAGGCTCACCACAATCTTGGTGTCCCAAGGACCGCCCCCGCCGGTAGAGCCACTGCCCGAGCCGGATGGGCCGCCGGTTGATGAATTGTTGCTGATGCTGCTGTTCACCCCCAGATGCGCCTCGTATATGTAGATCGTGAGGGTGAATGTCTGTTTCGATATCACCCGGGGGCGGGGGCGGGGGGGGAGGGTAGTAGTTGACAGTGGGCGGGCGTGGTGAGAGAATCCTACAGCATGTGTCTGTCTCGTGCTACGTACGTGCACGCGGTACAGACCCACCCGGCGGTGCACGACTCACGCGTAGTATGTAGCCCGTCTAGAATTCTGTGTGGCGCGAAAACGTGTGTGAGGTCGAAATGCAAACCCGTTTTGAGTGCTGCCGGAGTTCTGACATAAGGCTTGCGAAACAACGTTGATATCGTCTCCTATATATATATCGTATCCTATCGTATCCTAAAAACCGAAAATTGCTTAATTAAATTTGCCAGAACAGTGGCAAGTGTGAGAGGATTCGTAGAAGAACTGTTCCTCCGTACACGATTTCGCTCATACAGAAGCCGGGCTGCACTGACTGACACCTGGCACCAAGGCTATTCGTTGTTTTTTTGCTGTTGAGAAAGGAGTTTTTCAACACAGGTTGTATCGAAGAGTGGGCCGCGTGTGTGCTGGGGGACAGACTTCTGTCCGTGAGCTTACCCGCCTTGAGTTCGACTCCCCCAACTTTGGCGATTTTTGCACATGGCCAAAGAGCGTCGACTGCAAGGCGCTTGCGCCCGAAATAATTGATCTTGTCTCCATATGTACTCCCCAAACCCTCTTCGATGTGCAGTGCTTCCTAGAACGGGCAGCAGCTGCATCATCACCGGCGCTTCTTTGTGCCAAAAAATCTAGGTTCTCAAATAGTAAATAAATTCTTGAAGTCTCGTGACGTGGTAAGTCTATACAGCAGTACAGCATATCAGCACGCACGCGTGACGGCCGAGTTGTGTGTGGTCAATCCTCCCTCCCCTCCGGTTATTGCGATTGCGATTCGATTCGGAGATAGATACGTTGCATCGGTAGGCGTGAGACACGCGTACTCGATGCCGCCCGCGGTGCTGCGAGCTCCGCGCATCCTACAGGTTATGACGCAGCTCAATATATGCATGCGTATTTGAGAACTTGGGCAAGCAACAACAGAGAACGGAGGGTTCAACTTTCCATCGGGATCTGCAGAACCCCTTCGCGGTTTCATGATTTCGACATTATTTTACATCGAGAACTTGAAAAACTCGCCCAAATGCCAAATGGAACAACCTTCCAGGTAGTTAGTTGGTAGACGGCAGTCTCAAGGTGGTTCACCCGCCCAGCGGAGGAATTAGGAGAGCGACGAGAGTCTCCGGACAAAAGGCGACAGGAGATGCCGGATTCATTCCTGAATCTTGACTGTGGTTGGTGCCCCTTGTGGCTGTTATCTTCGCTATAGGATAGGGGTCGTAATGCCTCCTCCTCCTCACCTAAAAACTTGTGATCATAAACGTTCAAGAGTGAAAACGAGGCAGAGTACTTGTACCCATATATAGGGCATTTTTTTTGTAAGACACGGAAGAACTTCTAACAATTATCTATGTCTTAGAGGGGTAGAGCCGGGTAGATGCCCATCTCCCACCAATCACCCGTCGAGTTTGTAAGACATTTTGTAAGACAGAGACAGATGATTGGGCGATGGGCACGATGCTCTCGGCAGAATCACCGAATCCTCGTGTAGAGCAGCACCACACACATCACGTAGACAACATACGAGACGACCAGCACAGCAGTATACGGACTGCTGTAGGCCAAGGGCAGCCAAAGGCACACATAATGGGAGGCGTTGGGTATGACTCTTGCAGCCCGTTGCCTGCTGTCGGCAGCACAAGCAAGTGACGACGCAAGTCAATCCGCGGTCCGTCCGCATCACCCTCAACCTACCGATCTTTGGAGCTTCCCGCACAGACGCATCCCCACAACAGAGAAAACGAGGCCTACACACTGCGGTAGGCCAAGGCCGGCGAAAGGCACACATCATGGCTGGCGTCGGAAGCTATTTTTAGACCCCGATGCCTACTGCTAGCAGCGTCAGCGAGGGAACATGCGAGTGCACACAAGTCAGATCTCTGCCTGCGGTCTCTTCGTCTGCCGGCCGATCTTTGCTTCCACAACAGACGCACCCCAGAAACAGAGACAAGTGAGACGTACACAGCGTTGTAAGCCAAGGGCGGCCAAACACACACGTCGTGGAAGGGGTCCGGGCCAATCTTTAGAGCCCGTTGCCCTCTGCGAGTAGCGAAAGCGAAGAAAGCAAGTGCGCACCCATGCACAGCAGCAGCAGCAGCGGCAGCAACCACCAGCAGCACTGCTGCCCCTGAGCTGATGATGGATGAGAGTTAAACAGCGCTCCCATTCATCCCCTGCCTGACTGGTGGTATCGGGTGAGGTGTGAGCGTGCGCACTGGTGACCTACGTGGGGTGGTTGGTGTAGGCTCGATCCATATCTATCTACGCTTGCTTTGATGTCTCTCTCCGACCCTTCTTTTTTCGCGCTTCGCGCGAAACAATTTCATTTCTTTTTGTTGGACCCCTATGTATGGGAGTGGGGCCGAAAACGGGATGGACATGGCCTTACACAACGCGATGACGTGACCAAGGGTTCATCAACGCCCTGGATGAAGTGTTGCTGCCTTCACACCATTAAAACCGTTTCCGGTCTCCACCCAGTACCTTCAAAATTTTCGCACCGGTCCAGACGTCTTTCCGTGGTTACAGTCAGAAGGCAGGCTACCACTACTAGATCCAGCAGTACCAGAAAGGGTACTTACACACGTGAAGAGACCAAAACAACAACTGCTGTGACTGGAGAAACATCACCAAAGCAGATGCGATAAAATATGCTGCAAACTGGTACATGTACGTAGGTAGCTGTTGTGGGTCGAGCGCAAAGACAACCCGAAAGAAGAAAGGCGGAATTATTACAGCTGCTGCTGCTGTTTGAGAATAAGAAAAGGGCCGGATGCATACCGCCGCCGTATGGGTGACAAATAAAGCCCAAGACAAATTATGCGTACGTTGGGCGTACCCAACAAAGTCGAAAGTATGTGCTACCATGTGGATAAACCCGAAAAGTCTGTGAACAACACGAGACAGCAGCAGCAGCAGCGGAAGTCATGCTTGCGTATGCATACATATCATGGGACGGCCATTGGGCCGGAGGTATCAAGCAACATACGTCAGCTCGGCACGTGGTTTGTCAACTACTGCGGCGTAGCACCACCTCCTGCAGCGGACCTTCAGACACACACACCGTAAAACACAGACACCACACACCCGCATTGTTTGTTTCCTCCGCTAAAAATATTTTCACTTCATCTTTACAAAACACGTATGCATACATGCATACAAGTATGCATAGCATAAAAATAGGAGTGCAGAGCGCTGAGTGCAGAGCGCTGATTTGAAGTGAAGACAACGAGAAAAAAAAAAGGTGTAGTAGTAGCTGTGAGAGGTCCGCTTGTTGTTTTCCGGCGGTACACCATGAAGCCTCGTTTCATAGGCAGAGGTGAAACTGCTGCAGTTTCATTTAGAGTGGGAGCGCTACTTAGAGATATGCATATGTACCTGGTATCACCTATGCATCCTGCTGTAAGATACATACCAACATCACGACACACAGAGGTTCCGCAGGTTTATCGGAAAATAAAGATGATGGCGATACAGCAGTGAAGACATACTGCTGTATTACCTTGAGTAAACCGAAAACAACGTCGACAAAAGAGTGTTGGACCTACTGCTGTAGCGTAAGAAAGCGGCTGTTCCGAAAAACGAACATCCGCCCGACGCCTGCAACTGGAAGATTGGAACAATCTGTCCGACTCTTTTCTATAGACAGATGGATTCGTTGTGTCCTACTCTATTTTTTAGTATCAAGAAAAAATATTAAGAAAAAAACAAAAAAAAAACAGAAGTTTTGATTCAACACGCCGGCCGGTGAATAAACTTAACCTTGGGATGAAAGTGTGGCGGGTTTGGGCGTAGTAGATTCATGCCCTTCTACATCTGCCGACATGCGATCGTCGGCATCGCGGTCTATGCTTGTGTGTCCCCAAACATCGCTTGATTGCCCCTGTACAATTATGCGAATCACAATTTCACCAAAGTAATCAACTTCGCTTGGTGCACTGCAACGCCAAGTGCATGCCACTGCTGCGGTTATGCTATTGTAATAACTTTCGACACTCTTTTTGCTCGTCCTTTTACTCCAATACTATTCAACACACGTTGATGAAAAAGGGAAAGAGGAGGAAGCGAAAAACGCACGGGTCGAAGGCGTGTGGTCTGTCTGGCTGAACGGGCAACCGCCGTGCTCCCTGCTAGTAGCGGCAGGAGGTGAACAACGCTCGGAAAAATCCCGACGCGGTTCTTGTTCTCTTTTTTTGCTCTCACCCCAGAGCACAAACAGACAGCTATGTTGTGGTCGCCTCCTTTTTTGTGATGCCAGACAAAAATTCGGCGCTCTACATAACCCGATGTGTTGGCTCTTTAATGCTGAAGGCAGCGCCTACCAAACAAAAAAAACGCGGATGCATCTACATAATCGCCATGGTGAGGCACCGGCTGGGTGTCGTGCGCGTACCTTGCTCTCTCTGTACGATTTCCAATAGCGGGAAGTATGCGCCAGATCCATTTTTCGGCAGAGTTTCCCGCTCCCTCCAACGTCAGCTTGCCGATGTGATGATGCCGGGGACAACAATTACAATTTTCCGCAGGAACTACTTGTAACAGGAGGAGGTTGAAGACGCCGAGCGCACACGCTCCCCGAGGTGTGTGCGGGGAAACAGGTGGGAACGGGAGTTTGGTGCACGTGTTGTAGGTTGGTCGTGCCCGAGACTCGAGACCCAATCTCTCGCCCTCCCTCCCCCTGCGCTTAGGGGTCGACGGTCAGTTCCTGTCCCCTGTTTCTGTCACCTGCGTGTTCCGACGCAACCCCTTACTGTGACTCAAAAAAATATATATATACTGCCTCGTGACTGGCGGGGTGACGCTGATTATTCCAACCGGGGTATGTACTGTCAACGTGCCTGCACACGTACATCATTCGCCGGAGCCCCAACCATTGATGTGTGCATTTCAGCAAGTGCATACCTTGCGATGAGCGCTACGCGGACGCTTCATGCTGCTACTGCTGCTGGAAGGGGTTCCGCCCGAAGATGGCATTGCATGTGAGGGGTTGAGCAACAAGAGAGGGCTCTGTCTCTGTGTGGTCGTATCTCGTAACTTTAGTTCCACCGCCTGTTTCATACAACGTGCAACAACAGGCGATACCCGCATCGGGAATGTGAAAGCAATCCAGGTAAACGGTGCATACAACTGGTAAACTCGTACTGTCTCCCAGTAGAGGTCGCTGAGTGTCTTGTGGGAATCAAAACCATAGGTACTATTTTAACGCAGGCATCTCTTGCCTGTGTTCGTCATGCACCGCAGCAACCCGCCGAGATCTGTTGAGCGGGTGCCTCTCCTTCCACATTTTCTGATGTGTGTTTGCAAGGTTGTGCACGAGACAAGAGGTGTTACTTATAATAATACGGTCCTGATTGTTGCTACTTTTGTCTCCAATGTATTGACTGCCGAATCGTCGCGATTGGTGCCCCTTCAACTCTACTCCTTGCCGCCACAATGAATGTCAACCCGCCGTGTGTGCTGTCTGTCTCCGCCCCCCCCCCCCCCTTATGCCTTTCGGGCTGCCCCACGCCCGCTCTTGCCGTACTGCTGCGGCTGTGTGTGTCGTTAGAAGCGCAGCCTGGCCCCAGACGGGTACAGTCATGGCGTCAAGGCGAGCTGCCTCGACGGGTGTGGGCATCGTTAGGACCAGGCTGAGAACAGCAGCACCGCCGAATGAGGGGAGCAAAGGATCGGCGCTAGCGGCGGCGGCGGCGGCGGCGACATTAGCTGCCGCTTCGGCAGCAGCCGCAGCGGTATGTTATCCATGAATCGCGTGTGCTGCGGCTTGCCCTCGAGGCGACCCTGCATTCCATCACTTGATAGCCGCTGTCTTTGGAAGTGGGGACGCCTCAGTACAGCATCTCGAGGCCTAACTAAATCCCTTTTTCATCGCGCCTGCTCTGCTGCTGTTGCCGCCTTCACCGCCGTTCACTTCAGTTGAACTCTTTCGGAGGCGGTAGCACCTCCGTGGCGGGGTGTTCCTCTGCGGATGGCGTCGACGACCCCTACGAGCCCGGCCAGGCCGTTGGCGTGGGCATTAAGGCCGAGATGTGGAAGACCAAGCATCCGAACCTGACGATCCTAGAGACCATCGAGGACTCGCCGGTCCTGGTGCGTCATCGTTTCTGCTGGGTCGGCGTGTATTGTTCGTGTGGGTTTAGACTGCCGTGGACTGCCTTGTGTGTATGTTGGTGCGTATTCTTTTGTGTTTGCGACAAAGTTGGTGCCGGGGTTTCTTGCTCTCGAGAACGGCGTCCGGAGACAAGAGAGCCAAGTCTGACATCGGAAGGAGTGAACGGTGTTCGTATACATGATACATAGGGAGGGACGTGCCAGCGCTAGTATGTTTGTCGGTTGGTCTATGTTAAAATATTGTGCTTGTACCTTGTGTTCTGTAGAAAGAAAAAAAGCCCCCCCGGGTGTCGCATTTTTAGTGCCTCACAACACGTTTAGATTCCTGGTCAAAGATAAGAAAGGTTTGAATGCCAGAATTATGTAAGGGCAAGTAATGACAACACCAACAGCCACACCAACAACCACAACCACGTGAGACTCGTGTTACTGCTGTACCCGCAAGCCATCGCGCTTGCAACCGTGCACAAGTGATTTTGTTTTTCTATCTGCTCTTCCAACACATTGCTGGCTTGTCTGGATGCTGCAACAGGGCTTGATGAGCGTCGTCCGGAACGTCGAGACCGATGGGGGCGCCTTCCTGTCTGCGGCCAACAGGCTCATGCGCCAGCTGCTGGACTTCGCCGATATGGGGTTTCCCAACGACGATGAGGCGGTGTTTGCCACCCCTGCGAGAGTTATGATGGCGGTAAGCAGTCAGCAGAGAGAGAGAGAGATCAGTGGTGGAGGAAATAGAGAGAATAGAGGGAGGGGGGAACAGAGACAGAGACAGAGGGAGAAAGAGAGAAACAGCCAGCCAGCCAAGACACACACAGACAGAGGCAGAGAGAGAGAGACCAGTAGGAGACAGACAGACAGACAGAGAGAGAGAGAGAGAGAGAGAGAGAGAGAGAGAGAGTGCCAGGCCATGAATGCTCATGTTTAATTGTACACTTAAGGCAACAAAGGAAGCAACGAACGGTCTTACTTGTTTGTATTTTTTTTTCCTGCATATTAGGAACATTATTTTCCCTTGAACACTCCCGCTATCATAACACGGCCTGTGTATCGATTGGTGTGTTGGTATAACGCAAGTGTCTCGTTTCTTGCACCACCGTTGAACATGATCGTACCCGCTGGCGTATGCTGACGTCACCTTAACCTGACCGTAACAACAAGCATACGCGAACGCTTTTCGTTGAAGTGAGCGCAGCCAGTACGTCACTCGTTAAGATACGACTACGAGCATGCTTGCACCTGAGACTGGGGCCATAGGGACTCAGCCAGCGATTTTTCTTGTTGCCGTAAGCGTGGCGTTACATGTCAGGGGGAGCGTAATTACTTCACACATGAGTGCAACCCCATGTGTGCCGACCACCAGCGGCGGTTCCCTACTTACCTACGGCCCAGTCCGTCCAACTCGAAACGGCAACAATTATATTACATCGCATCTACGCATATCTGCCGTATTGCACGGCTTTTAGCTTTCTTACGGCGTAGTCGGCCCAACTCGAAACGTCAACACTTACGCCGCACATGTGCGTATTTGCAGGGCGTTTATTCCCTGCTCGCCTCCTACGGCTCAGTCCGTCCAACTCGAAACATCAACAATTACACTGCACATTTTTGGCAGGGCGTTCTGCCGGAAGATGACGTAAACGTGTGCGCCATTTCCCTGTACCTGGAGAACGAGCCGTGCGGGGTTTTCGACATGGAGCTGGACGCGGCGTTCCCGTCCTTCGAGAGGGGTTCCCTCCAAGTGAGGTGCCTCACACGGGGTTCTTCTAGGGAACTTCCGCGGGACATGCAGGGGAAGCAGATCTTGCTGCTGGCTCCCGTGGTGAGCCTGCGGCTTGTTTTCTTCGTTCTCTTGCTGAAGGCTGTGGGTCTTGGTTGCTTTTGTGGTGGTTGTTCTCTGCTGGAGATTGCGGGTGCTACTTGCCATAGATAGCTCCCGAGATGGCGGTTTGGATCCGCTTTTTTGTCCTCCAGATTGGGGTTCCGGCATTGCCCTGCCGGGATTTGTTTACACTCTGCTGAATTTTTGTTTTTGAGTGTCTGGTGCACGCTACATGTTGTACCTTCCGTGGCTGTTGACGACCGTCCCCACTTCTGGTAGTGTTGTCGATTTCAGTTGTACCGCATTTGACACACAAGATACCACACCCCCTGGACCGTTTTTGAACGCAAGACTACTCCACGACGGAGAGGGTGCCAAAATCAAATGATACGTTTCCGGAAGGATCTCGACGAGACGGTTACAACGCCTCCCGCCATCATCTTCACCGCCGCCACTCTTTAGACTGTGTGGAGTAGTCGATCTTTGAAAATCAGTCCAGGGGGTGTGGTATCTTGTGTCATATCACCTACGGCGGTACTACAAGGTTGGTGACGCGCTTCACCTCTCGGCTTCGAAATGTCGGGAGCTGAAGCACCGAACATCTTCGTCCCGAAATAGTCGTTGTTGTTGTCATGTTCACATTAAGAACCGTTCCCAGGCCCCTTGCTCGGTACCTTCAAACATCCTCACGCACCGTTCCAACTAACGCGGACGCCTTCAAATGACACGTGGATGTTTTTTTTTTTTTTGGATTAGGTCGGTTACGCCCAACCGGTATTGGCGGCCCTGGAGAGGCTGGAGCAGGCCGGTGTTGAAGACGAGAACGTTACTCTGGTTAGCGTTGTCATCAGCAAGGACGCCCTCGAGGCGCTCACGGAGGAGGCGGAGGACATGAGAGTGGTGAGTGTGTGACTACATTGGACATGTGTCGTGACGACAGTCTCCACGGAGGGCGTGTTGAGAATATTCAGACACGTGAAACACGGCCAGTTTTTTTTTCTACATATCTGCAGGTGTTGTTCAAGAACTCGGGAGTAACACTCGAGTAGGCGTAAGGAGTTCGTAGTGAACGGATGTCAAGACCGCGAGATGGGGTACTTGTATGGCACGCTTGCCATGGTGATGAACGCTTGACCTATTATTTCGACCGATGCCTATGGACGTACGAACGCCGAACTTACATTAATTAACCTACCGTTTCGACCGATGCCTATTACCATACGAACGCCGAAGTTATACATTAATTTCGCTCCGAACGCTACGGTTTCATTGCTGTTACTCGTTTTTCGCGACAGGTGTGCTCCGCAATGGATGGCGAGACCCGAGGATCTGACCACCAGGTATACCCGACTAAAATAAACCTTTGCTCTTTTTCTTGTTTGTGCCAAAATTTTCATGTCTTGGCGAACACGAACTGTAGTTAAGAAATTGTACATATATCATCAAAGAGAGCGTAGTGTACCTTGTTACCCTACTTTTCAACCTGCGTGTTTGCGGGGTTATGTCCTTGTGACGCCCTTCATGTGTACGTGCGGGTGAAGAGCTATGGATGTATGGTGTTGGTGTTGGTGCCACCTAGCCCACAAAACGTGGTTTAGCTCTGTTGCTGCTGGCTTTCCTCTTTCGCTGGATTTACTCTCAAGCACACCGAAAACGACCATTCACGTGAGTATGACACGAGATTAAGGCACATGAAGTCGATGCGAATGTCATCAAACGACCGGTTCTCATCCCATTCGTGGCTCGATTGTGTATTAATTTATTAGCAATGATGCCCAACAAGAGACCTTACTAATTGTGCTGGTTACTCTCGTACAATTTTTTGTTGTTGAAGGTCGTACCGGGAGTGGGAGATTTTTCGCGGCGCTACTTCGAAGCGAAAGCCATAGTGGAGGCCGAGGCGGCAGCGAGAGCCGCGGAACGATCCGCGGAATCTTCCTCAAACGGAAAGCGCCGCTGGTGGCGGCTGTGGTAGAGGAGTCGCCTGCCTTGTGACTAAAAGCTGGGTTGACTTAATTATAGATTGCCGTTGGTCACGGAGGCTTTCCCAATTATTATTATTTTGCTTGTTGCTTTATTCTTTTTCATTCATCGCCCCAAGGAAACGCAAGTAGGATCGGAGAACGTGGCAGTCCTTACTATCCCTACGGAACCACGGGGCGAGAGGCACGTGGCGCGAGCTGAGTTGGGCTAGTTATACCACGGTCGTGTTGGTCATGACCTTCTGGCCACAACCGTGCTTTTGTGCGTGGTGTGCCTGCGTGTTGCGTCTTGTTTCGGAGTGTTCTCGGGGAACGATCCGTAGAACGGACGTCAAGAAGTTTCGAGGAACGTTCCTCGCAATTAACCGGGAAAACGGGGTTTCGATTTCGGTGGTGGAGGTGCGTGGCTTGGGGGGTGGGGTGGATCGTTGGTGGTGGCAACACATGCAGTTCGTAGGAACGTGGACAGTAGTGGACTTGGTGCAATGAAACTCTGCGGACATTTGGTTTCGCTTTTTTTTTTTTTTTACGTTCAAAGGGGGGTGTAGACGGCGCCCCGTCGTTTTCTGTCTCAGCCCTGTTTCATTTTGGGGGGTAGAGTAGACGGTGGCCGACAAGGGACGTAATATCCACCTGTTCCGAGTAGCGCAACAAACGCTACTGGACACACAATTCTGCGTAGTATCTCTCTCTCACTCTCTTTCTCCTGTTTGATTTACCAAGAAACCTCTTCGGGATCATGCTCGCTCATT